AATAATATTTATTTATTAATTTTTTGATCATTCAAGGGAGACAGAACCCTATATTAAGAGGGAGGAACCTAATCTTAATGTTTTTTTTAAAGTTGTCTTGACCACTAGATCAAGCAGCTGAAGATAATAATATTTATTAATATATTATATTGGTAGTATATTATTTATTAATATAATAGTATTTATGAATACATTATAATATTATTTATTAATATATTATATTAATAATATATTATTTATTAATAATATATTATTTATAAGTAAATTTAAGTTAAAAAAATATTAATAAATAGTTTTATTCATAAGTTTTTTTTTCAAAAAAATATCTTATCTTTTTATATCCGAAAAATAATTTTTTTTAAAAATATTTATTTTTTATTAATCTATAAATTATTTTTCATTGATTAATTAATATTTTACTAAATAAATATTTAAAAATATAAAAATTATTTTTTAAAAATCATTTTATTTCGCGGAGCCTAAAAAGGTAATATATCAACTTGCTTGTACATTAGTTAATCCATGAATTGCATTTGAAAATTCATTTATGACCAATCATAAAAGAAAAAAAAATCAACAATAATTAAATAGTACTGGTCATTACTATAGCATTAATTAATAATTTTCAGTACAAAATTTGGTAGCTGTTCATATCAGGGCCGCCTGCCTGGTCAAACCCGGTTGCAAGTGGCTTGGAGTTGTAGGTATTTGTTTATATCTTTACAGGGAATTAGAGAATAGGGCATCAAACTCAAAGTATTTATGGTTTGTTAAAATAAAACATATTATAAAAAATGAAATAAAATTTGATAAAAATTTATTAGAAAATTAAAATTAGCATTTTAATTTTTACCATTCATTTTATAACTTTTTTTTTCTTTTCTCTATTTCACATGTTATTTCTCCACAATCATATCCTCAACTCATATCATTACAACTTATGCAAAACAACCATCTTTATAAATAATTATGTTAGCATTCACCTTATCAAATCAAATCCTTATTGCTTGGCCGTTAGCTTAAGCCTATATCAATCACAATCAAAGAAGAATATATATTGGGAATAAAATTACATCTAAATGATTGCTTATAATTTTATGTAAATTGTATAATCAATATTCACAAAAAGTTAACTTAAATTTAGTTTAAGTAATAACAATAAAAAAAATATTGATAAATATTTTAAATTCAACTTATAGTGCTTTCTTTAAAAAAAAAATTCATCATATAAAGTTTTTAAAATCATTTATTATAAAATGGTTTTATTTGGTATTCAAAATTTAATATTTATCGTTGAAATATTTTTATAAAAGGGAATAAAGATATATTTATGTTTCAACTAATGTGTTGAAAGATGATATTATATATAAAATAAATTGATGGTTAATTACTAAGATATTATGCTCAAATTTTGAGCAATAACTAATGAAAAAAAAAAAAAACTTTTTGAGTAGTCCTCATAATTTAAACATAATATAGTAACATAATATAAAAAAAATACAAAAACAATATAACATAAAATTTTAACAATAATTATATTTAAATTTGACAAAAACAAAAAAAATGTACGTTATGTTTGATATGTGAATACAAATTATTATATCATAATTTTCATATTTTATACATATATGACACAAAATAAATAAATACAAATATATGAATTATCAATTTTTTTCTTAGTATAAAAGATTAAAGAGGCATTTGGTTCGTAGAATGTTAGATTTTAAGAGGAAAAGTGATTATAGGGGAAATTAATAAAGAGAATGAATAATTCTTGTGTTTTGTTAATTTTAGATTGCATAATGAATTCTTTTACTATATTGCCTTTGATGATTCATGAATAACACATAATATTTATTTAATATTTTTATAATATATTTATTAACACATGAATAACTTATTTATTTAATATTTTTATAACATATTTATTTAACTTACAAGTAGGTTAATTAAATTAATTTATATATTTAATAACATTAAAAATATATATCTATTCGTAAAAAAAAAAAATCAAAATTCCATTCAAAAAAAATTTCAAATGTGTCATTACAAAGGATCTAAAATGCTTGACAAATGAAAATATGTTAATGGTTGTTATAAACAGATGAAGATCGTTATAACAATCATCATCTATTTCATAAAAAAAAAAAAGAAAATGACAGTTGTTTATAAGAATCATCATCTTATAAAAAAATGACGGTTGTTTATAACAATTGTAATTTATTCTATAAAAACAATTTGATCAAACATGCCAAAGGATTAGTCAACTTTTGAAAGTAAGGACAAGAGTTTGATAAAGTTTCTTGAAGTTTTTTTATTAAAATTATTACATAAAAATTAAATGAAAAAATTAATATATATACAAAATTATTAAAAATATCATTTTATAATAATAAAAATATCACATCATTTGCCATCATTATGATGAAGCCGATTGATCAATTCTACATTTCGTTTTCACAATGTTTAACACATACTTCAACAAAAATATTTTTATTTTCTTATGAAGAATCTTTTGCTATTAATTTTTCATCATTTTTTAATCAAATTGAATATTAAATTGGTAAATCTAATCCCTTATTTAAAAGAAAAATTTACAAAAAAAATAGAAGAAAATGAAAAATAGTAAATTTGGATTTTGAACCTAGAAAAACTATGTTAGCAAATCATTGTCAGCTAAAAAAAATCATATAACGCAATGATATGGACTCTTGTGATCCAAGTACTTGAGATTTGTTGGACTATAGTGTATAAAATAATTTTTCAATCTAAATATTAATTAAAAATAAATATTTTATTAAAAATGTTTGTTTTATTTCAAATAATTAGAATACTATAGACATAATATTCTATACTAGTAATTTTTATTATATATTTATTAAATAAGATCAAATTAATAGTACAAAAACACACTTAAAAAAAACTAAAATAACATAATTAATTTATATTTTGTATAAAATGATATTTTTCTATGCGTGATGCTAGATGTCAAATGTTGAGCTTCAATGCATTTGCATGTGTTAGATTAAGCTTTGGTTTATAGTACCATTTTTATGATATTGAAAGGTATAATGGATACAAAGTACCAATAATTGAGGGCAATAGTGGAACAAAGTTTGCATTTTGTTAGAAATATGAAAAAAACCACAAGGAGATTGAGATTTTTTTTTTGTTTCGAGCTATTTTAACCTTTCTTGATATTGTTGGTAATTTTAAAAACCCTTAAGGAATCACATTATGCGGATCAAACAATATGAGAATCATATTATGAAAAGTAAGATTTTTGACTGAATCTTACTTTTCTAAACTAAATGTCCTATGAGATAGTGTTTGATATAGAATGATTACTTAAAAAACATGATCATCGACACATGATGGTTAGATCATTGTGTTTGGTATGCATTTGATGATTTTATATGATGATAATCTTGGATCATTGAGAGTGATCGGACCACTGGCTTAAAGAATGATATAATTCTCGTATAAAAGGATAGTAAGCTTTTTGTAATTGAAGTGAAATGATATATAAAATTAATAATAGTCAATTTTACTCATTAACATGTGAATAAAAAAATTACTGTTACTTAAAATTATAATTATTTTATATTATAAATTTTTATATTTTCAAACTAATATTCATTGTAACAAATTTAAAATAATTTACATATATATTTTTTATTTTTTAAAATGTTTTATATATAACATATTTTTTATTTTTCTTTTATTATGAATTTAATACATTGGTTTTATTTTTTAATTCAAATATTTTTACAGAATTTATATTATAAAATCAATTTATTTTTTACATAATTTATATTATAAAAATCAATTTACTTATCAATAAATATGTTTATTAATTTAATAGTTTAATTATATTTTATTATAAAATAAATATTACTAATATTTTACAAATTATTATCTATAAACAACCTTAAATATTAATTTATATAAGTATTACAATATGCATAATTATTTTCATATTTTTACACAAAATATTATTTGGTTTTTAGTAATACTAAACATAATGATCTTTTAATTTCTTAGAATTAATCATTGTTAACTAAATAAAATGATTTTAAATTACAAGTATTAAGATCACCTTAATAATAAGATTACCCTAGTAATTACATTATTATAATGATCTTACAAAAAATATCAAATACAACTTAAAATAAATATAAAATAGTAATTAGGATTTCCTAGTAAACAACTATGAAAATTTATTTGAAAACTTCTATTTACAGCCCTAAAATATTCTTTTACAGCCAATTACTATTTACACTACAAATTCAAAACCTAAAATTTAATTTTTACTTATTAGACCCCTATTTACATTTCTTATTTCCTTTCAACACCCCACACACTCATTTTTCCAATTCCCTATCCATTTCCAATTCAATCTAACACTTCAAACCATAATCTAAAAAATTACCTTAAAATCACAAGTTTTAGAGTGAATGAACTCACCAACATTCAACTTAATTGTTGCCTTCGATTTTGTTAGATTTGTTTTTTTGAAAACTTTTAAAAGTTTTTGGAGATGTGAATCTAGAAGGTTTTTCAAGTTTCAAAAAATATAAATCCAAAAATTTTTAAAAATATAAATTTAAAAGTTTTTAAAAGTTTTTTTAAAATATAAATTTAAAAATTTTTAAAAGCTTCTCAAATTGTAAATTCGAAAAGTTTTCAAAAAATTTAAATCCAAAAATTTGTAGAAAAAAAAAGTAAATATGAGTTTATTAAAGATTGAATGGTAGTTAGTCAAAGGTTAATTAAGTAATTTCATATAAAAATATTTTTGAAAATAAAAAAGAAAGAGTGCAGAGAGCATTTATTGGAGTATATCTAGAAGGACCTATTTTATTTGTTTTACCAAATAAATTTTGCTTTGATAACTACTTTCAAAATCTTTTGATTTATTGCCCTTGTAACTAATTGTACACTGTTTTACTACTTCCTAGTGAACTATAAATCTATGATAGTTTATAGTGACATGTTATTGGACCCACGTCTCCCCAAGTGGCACATGCTCTGCCATATTTTCCCATCAATCAAACACCTCCACCGAATATCTCAAAAGTCAAAAAAATACAACCGAAATAAAAAGAAACTCCAATTTTTTTTACAGAAACTCAAGCTCTTCCCATCCCCATTCCTTCAAAAAACCCATCAAAAACCAAAAATTTCCATCAAATTTCCTCCTTATGACAAAACAGTGTAAAAAAAAATGAAGTCATGTACCACTACTGTTTCCAATTCTTTTCTTTCCTTTGTTTTACAAACATGGAATTCTGGTTCCTGTGATTTTGCCCCGGAAAGTTCTCGTTTTCTTAGATACTATGCTGTTTGGGAAATCAATGCTTTTCTTTGGATTTCTCTTATAACAATCACTTTTCTTTTAGCTAACAAGCTTTGTAAGCTCTTCAAGTTATGGTCTCAGGCTTGCAAAATTCCAGGGCCGCCTTCTCCTTCCTTTTATGGCCATTTCAATACCATCTCCAAACAAAGTCTTACAGGTAAAAACACTCCTTCTCCTTTTCTTTAATATTTTGCATAATTTTTAATGCAAATGATGAGTAGCTGGATTTTTGAATCTGGGTTTTTCTTGGATTGCCAAAATCTTATCTTTTGTTCTCACTATTTTGGCCTTTCAGCCTTATAGTCTTACGATAAAGCTTCTTCTTTTCTATAGAGATATACCAAATTTTTAATGAAAATGATCAGTAATTGGATTTTTAGAATCTGGGTTCTTCTTTGTTTGTCAAAATCTTAATTTTTTTTCTTACAACTTTACTTTCATAGCTGTTACTAGAAATTTGAAATGATTAATAATTGGATTTTGGAATCTTTTTTTTTTAGAGCTATTGTCAGATTCCCATGAAGAATATGGTTCAGTTGTGAAGTTATGGTTGGGTCCAACACAGCTTTTGGTTTCAATAAAAGACCCAGAACTTATCAAAGAGATGCTGTTGAAGGCTAAGGATAAACTGCCGTTGACTGGAAAGGCTTTCCGTTTGGCCTTTGGACGATCTACCCTCTTCGCTTCCTCTTTTGATAAGGTACTTACACTACGAGTTTATTTGCTGTTATTACTGTTTTTAAATTGTGAAGAGGATGATCAGAGCTTATCCAAATTAATAAGGCTATCTACCACTCTATGGATGGCTATGGATAATAAATAAATGAATATCAGTCGCTATTTGATTTATTTATATCTGATTCGGATAATTATAAATGGATAATTAATCAATTTGAATAGGAGATATACTATTTATAACGGATTCAGATAAAATACGGATAGTATCTCATGGATATCTAATATCCAAATCTGCTTAAGTTTTAATAAATAGTAATGGATGTCCGAATCCATTATCCATTTACAAATCTAAAATAAGTAAAATTTTATACATGTAAAAAGTTTTGAGTTTGAACAAAAACCTTTATTTATTATTAATTAAAAATGAACTTTAATTTTAAATTTAATTCTTGTTTATTTTATATTTTAACAAAAAATTTGAATAAACAGATATTTTAATAAATTCAAATATTTTAACAGATAGTGTTATATAAACATATTTGGATTTGGATAGTGATACTAAACTTAAACAAATATTTAAATGGATTTGGATACGAATACTTAAAAACTAACTGATATCTGCTCCACTTTCATCCCTATACCTCAATTTTGCTTTCTTTGGTTGCTGCTTTTACTATTTGATTTGTACTTATTTATTTATTTGGGTTCTTATGTAAAATGCTCCATTTACCATACATCTTTTGTTAGTTTGATATTTAAAAAAATAAAATTCTCACTTTATTACCACTACTTTTATTTCGTCAAATGCTTTAGTACTTCGCCTTGTTACCATAAATTAAGTGGCTAATATGGCATGAATATCCAATAAAAAATCATGCCATGTGTCAAGAATGTTCAGTTATCATCATTTCATTTATTATTGTGTCAGCAAAAAATTTTAAAAAATTTTGGTTTTTATTAAAAATAAAAAAAGAAAAAATTCAAAAAAAAGGAAAAGATTGGTTGGAGAGAGGGGGAAGGAGGGAAGGGGAGAGAGAGGGGGGAGGGGCGGCATCACCAGCTTGCCTAGGGCCTGTCCACTTAGGACTTAGCAGATTAGTGCCGGTCCATCTCAAACTTGGCAGATCAGTGTCGATCTGGGTCAAATGAGTCAGGTTAGCGTTGATCCGCAAGGTCAGAGGCAAACTGGCCCTGATCTGGCCTTGGGCTGGCTGGTGACGCCATCCCTTGTCCCCTTTCTCTTCTCTCTTTCTCCTTCTTCTTTCCCTTTTTCTCTCTCACCCTATTCTTTCCCTTTCTCATTTTTAAAATTTATAAAAATTTTGAACTAAAAAGATTTAAATTTTTTTTTTTGAATTTTTATTTAAATGCTAACGTAGAAAAAAGATGATATGATGGTAATTGGACATTTATGTCACATGCCATGATTTTATTGGGTATTAATACTATGTAAGCAAGTTGACTAACGGTGTTAGATTGAATTATCAAAGTACTTGACAGAATGAAAGTTTAAGTACCAAAATGAGAATTTTATTTCTTTAGGTATCAAATTGACAGAAGGTATATAGTTTGGCAGCATTTTTGTATTTAACCCTATTTATTTTTATCTTAAAAGTCTAAATGTCAAAGGCAAATGGTAGAAGTGGAAAATCATATTCAACTAAAACTTACAAATAACTAGATTGTTATGTTCATTCAAGTGTAATCTTTGGATGTAAAAGTTGTATTCATAAAAAAAAGCTTAAATTTTAATAACTAAATTATTCAAAAGTATTATTTGATTTTGTATACAGATGCATGCTTTGCTAATTTTTCTTCAAAAATATTAGGAAAAGCAATAGCCAAATCTAGGAAGCATGGACATAAACATGCAATACGGGTACAATATGATAGATGGCAATTTATAAAAATTAGGTCATGGGTATGGTAGGACATGAAAAAAAAAAATTATATGTATATAACAACATTTAATGAAAAGGTAAAATTTGATAATTTTCATTCAAATATAATCAATTTCTTCACAAAAGGTCTTTTGTTATTTAAAATTCAATTAAACAAAAATGTACAATGAAAAATATACCAAAAAGAATAAAGTAAATATACAATCAAAAAGCCATGAGCCAATGACCTTATTAACATATTAATATCTTTTTGGGATTCAAAATCTCGATTTTAATAATGGGCTGCTTTAGGCTAATATTGCTTGGACTCAGGTGTGGTGGGTACGTATAGGAGCATATGATTCATTAATTATCTAAGATACGAGGATATGGCTAAAAAGGATCCTAAATAGGATACAGGTGCTAAGACTTGTTATAAGTTTATTTTATAAGATATGTTTATCCTGTTATATATATATTTGATTACTTCATTGTACTTTTTTTTCTTTGAATCATTTTTCAAATATCAAAGTGCAAATAGGCTTTCCAAAATTTTAAAATAGGTTTTGAGTTTAATAGTGTAAACTTTTAAAAACCTATTGGAGCTTAGGCAGCTCAAAGATCTTAAAACAGCATTTAATTCTAACTATAAAAATTCTAATTTTTTAGAGTGAATTCTTTTCATATTTGGTCTTTGTGCCATTGTTTATTTCTCTCTCACATCTTTACACAGCTCCCACCTACTTCCACTCTTTTTAGCAACACCTAAGCCACCCACCCATCTTCCTTATCTTCTATGTTTTCTCTTTGTTATCTTCTCTTTCTTTTTAACTTCTAGCATCCCACTTCATTCTTTATTATACTCTTTTTATTTTAAGAGTTGTAGCATTTAGCTTATAAAAGCAAGATTGAGAAAAAATTAATCAAAACTAGCATCGGTCTATTATTTGCTGTCAAAGTGTCGAAGTTATTTTTTCATATTAAAATTAGACACGGGTAATCTTCCATTTTTTAAGAGTCCAACCATCATAGGATTTGAGTTTTTGCTCTTGATTGTTGATTCTAGATTTGGAAAAAAACAATGCAAAAGAAAACTTCCATCCCTTGTCTAGTTATGTTCGAATGTACCTTGCCAATGCCTTATTTTATTTTATTTTTTTGTGTGTTCCTGTGTTACATGTCGGAAGCATGTCCATGTAGGACACATGTTTGACACTGTGTTTCGTGCTTCAAAGAACCAAACAGAGCTTCCTTTTTTCTTTCTGTAGTGAATTCTGCCTCATGGTTGAATGACTTAGTTACACAATTATGTTCTTGTCTATGGTTAAGTCAACAAAGGGATCAAAGTTGGCTTTAATGGGGACCTTAAAACCCATTAGTTTATTCTCGAGCTATGAAGCATGGACTCACCATCCATTCCTATGTACTAGTGTCTGACATTTCTCTGACATGGTGAGATACGTGTTGGACACATGGGGATAATGCTAAAAAGTTAAAAAAATGGGATACAGGCATGATATGAATTTTTTGCCTTTTTTCTAGATATGAGATAAAAAAAATCCAAATCCTATGATATTGGAACTCTTAAAAAATGGAGGAGTATCATATTTGATACTAAAAAATAACTTCGACATTTTTATAGTAAATGGTAGCTTGATGCTAGTTTTAATTATTTTTTTTTCTTAATCTTGCTTTCATTGGCTAGATCTAGATGTTAAAAATCCAAAAATATAGAGAAGAGAATAAAGAGGAAAGTCAGATGCTGGAAATCCAAAAAGAAAAAAGATAATAGAGAGAGAAGTGAAAGATAAGAAAAAAGATAAACTAGGACATGTTTGCATTTTCATTAAATATTGTTATATAAAAATTTTTTTTATTAACGTGTCTAGTCGTAAATATGTCCTAGTTTTTTTAAAAATTGTCTGGTCATTATGTCCATATTATGTTATATCTGTATTTCATGTTCATGTCCGTGCTTCCTAGCTTACAAGGCCGATGAAGCACAATTATAGAATGTTAATGATTTTTTTTTCTATTAGGAGGGAAATAGCTGTGGGATACAATTATGGTTTTGGTGGCTAACTAAAGAGGCAAAAACATGTATTTATGGGGAATCGAAAAAAAATTTTCTGGTAGATGAAGGAACTATAGGAGAATAAAATGCTAGTAGAATTTGCATTGAATGATGGGTCCTAGCACATTACGCTAATCAAGTATAATGGGTTCTAGCTGATTATTCTTGCAAATTAAGGATTTGTGAGGAGAGAGAAGAACTTTCATTAGACATTCTATGATATTGTATGATAGGTGCAAAGCCTATTGTTGCTATCTTAGCCCTTTTCTAGTGTTCTATACAGGGGCTATTCTTCTTCAAAGCTATCAAAGTATCAAGCAACTAAATATCTTGAGTACCCTGTTCTGTTTCCATAGCTTGTTGATGGCTGTTGTCTTCATTAATTAATATTTCTGTAACTTAGTAGGTGCTGTTTAAGGGAGGGAGGGGGGGAGCAATCATATTCCTATGGTTTCTCTTGTGCATTTTCCTGCTTTACGTGTAATGCTATTTAAGGTTTTTCTTTGTAATTGTTTCTAAATTTTTGTAATTAAATGTCAATTGAATGCTTTTGAATTTGTCTACAACAGTAAACTTTGGAATAAAATTGAAGTGTTACAACCTCTCTAATTCTTTGCTTCCCAACGTCGAGGCTGGAAAAAATGATTTTTTTCCTTATATGATTATGCATGAATTGTAAGCTGAAGCTTTGATAATTTGGTGTCTGCAATCACCATATGGATAATATGTTCTGTTTCATCTTCAAATTCTTCCAACAAAAAGGATATTTAAAAGTAATCCTTTTCTAAAAGTAATCATATATAAGAAAATGAAGTGATTGTATATCCAATCTTCTCTCTTTTTTCATTTTCACTTTGATAGCATGATTGAACACCTTTTCTCTTTTCTCTTTCCTTTTTTCCCTATCCCTCTATGGGGATAACTTATTTATTTTTATCATCTGAAGGTGGAAAAAAGACGAGAATCATTGGCATCTGAATTGAATGGAAGATTGGTTGAGAGAGCAAGTGTGATCCCTACCAAGGCTATTGATTGTATCATGGCTAAATTACACCAGATCATGGGCAAAGGAAGTGTTGATTGTAAAATGGCTTCTCAGCATATGGCCTTCACTTTGCTTGGAGCTACAATCTTTGGTGACACATTCTTGGCTTGGTCTAAGGCAACTGTTTATGAGGAGCTCTTGATGATGGTTGCTAAAGATGCTTGCTTTTGGGCCTCATATAGTGTTACTCCCTTTTGGGAACTAGGATTTTGGAGGTATCAACGATTATGTGCAAAGTTGAAATGCCTAACTCAAGATCTCATGCAACAGTGTTGTAAAAATTACAAGCTATACCATGACATGGATCCAGTCTCTCATGATGAAACTGCAAATGCTGGAGTAGAAGCTACAGTTGGTTCAAAATCCTGTTCTGGCATCTTTTTGCAAGATAACTTTTCCCTGCAAGAGCTTAATGGCCATCTTAATGCAAGAGAAGAACCTTGTGGCAATGTTATGGGTTTGATGTTTCATGGATGCTTAACAACCGGAGGTTTGATCAGTAATATGTTGATGAGGCTTGTTACACATCCAGAAATACAGCGTAAGGTAGGCATCCTCTATTCCCGTTTCTTTCTTTTCCCAATTATCCATTTGCTCATCTACTCTAAGAATTTCACCGTAAAAGAACTGATGTTAAGGGGGTTCAGACCTGTTTGCAGAACTATTAGCTTTAATGACTCATTCCTGAATATTTTGCTAAATATTTAAAATTCTGTATTTTTCTATAAGACTGGGGTCTGAATGTAGACTTCCTTGTTACAAGGGCCATTGTTTGTTCTTCTTTTCTGTTTCATATTTTTTGCCTCATGCCTTCCTTTCCGACTAATTATCTTTACTATGTTACTGCAAGAATGTTTTACTTAGTTCCTTTTACTGTTTTTGGTATAGTTTTCGTGTTTTTTATATTACTTTAATTGATTTTATCATTTGAAAATACTTGGATTTTATCTTTCATGCTTCATAAATGGAGATGATTACCTCGCCCATAATATCCATTATTTGTGACGTACTGCTTATTAGATCGTGAATACATTTGCTTCGTAGTCGTTAATGACCTCTGTGCTAGAATGTATATCAGGGTATATCCACTCATGCACAAGTTGAATTTACAGAATTGGTTGGTAATGCATACTTTCTTGTGGATCGATATGTACTTGAAGATTTGGTTTGTAGTTGTGGGATGCAAGATTTTTGGGGTTGGTGAGGTCTGGGACTAGATTAATGCAAGCTTTTCGGTTAGTTTGCTATCAAGGTAAATGGAAAGGAAGAAAGAAGAATCATCCTGTTAGATGTTAACGGATTGTGTAGGAATATGGTATGATTATGGCGGATAAAGGTGCTAGTCTTTGGTTAGCGTAGGAGAGCTGTTTTCTGGAAGAGTGAATGAAAACGGAGGACAAATTTAAGTTGCATGTCAAATGCAATATGTAGCAGTTATCTTTAGAGTTTAGACAGTTTGTTCTGGTAAGAGTTTTGGAGTATGGTATTAAGTGGGGAGAATTTGGTGCTGGAATTTTATGTTGTCAACCTAGTGCTAGGTTGATTTTTCGATAAAGAAGGAGAAAGAGCTTCCTTGTTAAAGTTGCTTGCTTGTGCAATATTTAAGATTTTTAAGATAGCATACTCTGTGACCCTTAAAATAGCATTTCTTGGGTTCTAGTGTAAATAGTGTTTTTAGTAGATTCAGATTTTCTTGAGCAAAGTGGTTGTGCTAGCACAAGACTACTAAATGACTTAGGTTTAGGTGTTAGGATTCTTAAACCCTCAAATACTTAAGAGACTTGTGCTGAACTTAAAAGACCCTGCATTACTCTTATGTTGTTTTACTTACTATTTATTAGTTGAAAAGAAAAGTCAATTATCAGCTTTTTTTTTTTTTTTTTATGTTTATTGACTAAAGTTTGAAGTTGAACGTCCTAGATTGCAATTGATTTATGTCTTTGAAACTGAACTTTTGCAGATTTACTCAGAGATAATTATGGCACAGAAAGGTTCAGGGGAGAGAGATAAACCTAATATAGAGAAGATGCCTTTATTGTTGGCAACAATCTATGAGTCTGCTCGTGTTATGCCACCTGGACCTTTGCTACAGAGATGTTCTCTGAAACATGGTGAGCCATTGCTTTTTTGAAGGTTAAAATTGGAATCATCTGGCATTAGATACACTTTTTCTTATCTTCCTTAATCAGTACATGATAATTACCTTGGATATGGATGTGGAACTTGCAACAAGTGCTGTCAGTACCTAACTTTCACCTCAAAACCTCAAATTTATGTACATATTTGTAGTGTTCAGGGTCCAAAATCCTCCTTAATTTTGTGACATTTTTTAGAGCGCTTAAAGTTTTCTGTTATATTGGTTATTAAAATTTTTTGCAGATCTTACCAATCATCTTTTGTAGTAGTGGATGTAATGGAGGATGGTAAAATCTCAAGCTTGACTTGATTACAAAACTTGAGGCGTTAAGCTTGGCTCAAGCTGGGCCAAACTTGAATTTCCATGCATGACCATAGATAGGAACAGTTATCCAGGTACTTGAACTTGACTAGATCAGGCTTGATTATTATCAAGCACATATCAAGCTCGAGTTCAAGTTGGTTTTGATCCTTACAAATTCATCTAATGTATAAAATACATTTAAAAAGAAAAAAAAAAGAATCAAAAGTTTGAGTGGGCATGTGAGCCACTCAATTTGTTTATTGAAATATTTAAACTCGGCTTGTTGGACTAATCGAGTTACTTGACCTTGAGCTGTACTTGATAGTTAATGAATCAAGCCAAGTAGGTCACCAGTAGGTTTGACTTGCTAACTTCTCTATTTTCTATTTTTTCTTATGTTCAATTTTACAGGGTCTATTTATATTTTTAGAAAAGGCATGTGGAGGTTGACTTTCTTTTCATATAAAACTGAAAGCATTTATATATCTTCTTTTGAATTGAATTATGCTGTTGAGGCTTAGAACCAGAGTCTTATACAAGTTTTTGTTGCATGATTTGGCTACTGTGTTTTTGATGCCACTTGTGGTTGTCATTACTAATTATGACACTACTTGTATGGCTACTGATACCAAATCTTCCCTTTCTTTGTGTTTTGAAGATTTGAAGCTTAAGTCTGGTGTAATTATACCAGCTGGAGCGATACTTGTTGTACCTGTACAGTTGGTGCAGATGGATGATTCTAGTTGGGGAAATGATGCTGGTAAATTTAATCCATATCGTTTTCTGTCTAAGACTGAAGAGATATCTGGTTCGATGAACATGGATACTTCCATTGCAGGTTCCACTCACTACCTTTCCAAATGTGTATTAATTTAGAGTTTTTATGCTACTTTTTAATTGCCAATTTAGCATTAAGCTTTGTGAGGTTGTTATTTTCACTGTTCTGTGTCATGCATAGCAGTGCTTTGAGTTATGCACTTTATTGCATCAATACACCTTTTGAACAATATCGAGTGACTCTTGTTGTCCATGTAGCTCAGCTGAGTTGATTCTACCTGTTGCTAATAAATACTCCGTCTCATGATCATGTGGGTGTTTTGATTTTGGATGTGGGTTTTTAATGTCTTTCGATTTAGTTTGCATTCAGTTGTGTCTCAATAGTCAGTCCACAGGGTATTAAGTGGGGAATGTATGATGATTATATTGTCTCTCTTTGGCTCAGGACGTGCTGGAGAACGTCAGGACCAAAGCCACAGTTCTTTTGTTTTGAATGATCCAAATGAGAATCCAACTTTTCTTCCCTTCGGTTCTGGTACACGTGCCTGCGTTTGCCAGAAATTTGTCATTCAAGGAGTTGCAACATTGTTTGCATCCATGCTTGAACAATATGAGGTTTGTCCTATGAATAATTTATCGGTATTTTCTACAGCTTCATTTCAACTTACTGCTACAATTAGTCCTCTTATGAAGTTATCATCAGATTGAAATGCAGGAAAAGGTCATTTTTTGCCAATGCTAGATAATGGAGACATAGTTTAATGTTTATATGAATACATAATGCCGGTTTTGATAGATAATAACGTAACTAGTGTTTGTCTATGACAAGAATCACAAATAATGATTTCTTATTGAATTAAACATTGGGAGTGAATTATGATGTTTCTTTAAACTTCTTGAATTTTGATTATGTTTTCGATTAATGAAATTCTGATTTTTGATGAGATGTGATTGTTTTGTTTGAATGAATATAACAGGTGAGGCTTCATCCGAGATCTAAGACAAACTCAAAACCATTGACGAACGACTCTATTTTTAAAAATTTTTCAAGTTCCAAAATAGTTTTCATCAGAAGGAGTAACTGAAAGTCCGAAGAAACATACATAATGTCATCCTTATGGTGCTAGTATTTGGTTTTTTGTTTTTAATCACCCAGCTTTTTGATGAAGACATCTTGTCCTCTTTTTTCTCCGAAATTGTTGGAGAAGCTCTTTAGCCGATGAACAGAAGGATGGTGTCACATGAGCATATTTCATAACTCATGTTTTTCTTTTCCCTCCCTGGTTTGTAATTAGCTCAAAGTGCTGTATTTGATGCCAAGCTTTTTAGTATTTGTTTTTGAAGCACTTTGGGGCTGTGTTTGCAGTGAAGTTCTGTACTTTTGTCTTCCCCATCTTAGGATTGTTGGTTCCTTTTATCAAACTACTTTCCTTTCTGTTTGTTTTTCCTCCTAAAAGGAGTTTGTGTTGTAATATATATGCTCATTGAATATTGTCTAAGACCTTCAAAACTTGTTATGATATAAAATTAAACTTTATGGCTATGATTAATGTTTCATATTAAAATTAAATGTTTAATTTAATTAGTTTATGTAATTATTTTTAAAAAATGGTATGAGATATTTTTTATGAAACAAAATTATAAGATTCAATAAAATAAAATAAATAATATCTTATAAATAATATATTACTTTAATTCAAATTTTAATAAATGATTTATATTGCACTTTATATTATAATTTATTTTATGCAAATCATTTGTTAAATATAAATATTAAATGTTTTTTTTGGCAGAAAAAAAATTTGAGAATAAATAAGTTGTACAGTCTTTTAAATTAAAGTAAGATGTTTTATATTTGAAAATTTAAGACAAGTAATTTTAGGTCGTGTATTTGAAATGATTTTAATAAATGATTCGAATTCAAGATTTTTTCATCGAAAATGATAAGTTTTAACCAATTGAATTAATTATTTATTGATAATATTAAATGTTTCGAATATCATGTAATAATTAATAATTATTTTTTTAAAAATCAATTTATGTAATTAATACTTTTCAAAATTAACAAAGATAATTATATTATAAGTTATTTTTTTATTATTTTAATATTTCAGCATGATATTATCAAACTAAACTATAGGCTATTCCACTTTATAATCAACTTTTGGTTATCTCATTTTATAATAAAAGAGACGTTTTAAGGATTGTATTTAAATTTTTTATTTTCATTTTTAAAGTTTTGAATTTGAATTTGAAAATAAATGAGAAATTTATTGAAAAAAAGAGGATTACTTCTTTTAATATATCTTTATTGAGCTAAACTTTTGCTTTTCTGTCTTTTTGTTTTTCCGAGGGAAAAAGGGCCCTTCGCATTGCTTACCTATTAAGCAAAAGTATTTTATTTCAACTAACACGTGCTATTCACGTGTCAAAGACATTACTATCCAATATTTTTTCCTTAGCGGACCAAACAAATCGCTAAAACGCTTTGATTGATTCAAATCTTCCAATTTACCAAAAAAAAAAAAAAAATCTTCTATATAAACCCAAATGCAAAAAGCCACTTTCCTGCTCTCGTTTTTATTCTCCATAGCAATCCCAATTCTCTTCTTTAACAATTTTTCTGCCGAATCAACCCTCTGCTCCGTTACAATGGCCACAACCACCGCCGCTTTGGGCGGAGTTCACCCTTCCCAAGGATCCCAAAACAGCGCCGAGCTCGAAAACCTCGCTCGCTTTGCTGTCGATGAGCACAACAAGAAAGAGAATGCGATGGTTGAGTTTGTGAGGGTAGTGAAGGCCACCGAGCAAGTGGTGGCTGGTACGCTTCACCATTTGACGGTGGAAGCCATCGATGCCGGAAAAAAGAAGCTTTATGAGGCTAAAGTGTGGGTTAAGCCTTGGTTGAATTTTAAGGAATTGCAGGAGTTTAAGCATGCTGGTGATGCTGATGATTCCCCTTTTACTTCTTCTGATCTTGGTGTTAAGAAAGGTGCTTCATACTTCTGCTTTTCTTCCCTCTTTTATTGTTTTTATTTCGTAAAGCTTATGGTTTTTGTATGAAATTATTGGGTTTTCTTCTAAATGAAGCCTTATTGATGTACACAATATATATATTTGAGATGGGTTTCTTTTAGATACTGCAATTTTAAATGAAATGAAAGTGGTAAAAAAAATTGAATATGAGTTAGAAAAAACAACAATAAAAAGTGATTTGTGTTTGAATTGTTACATTGAACTGTGACATCACATGAATTGTACATGATAATTTTCGTATTTGACACGAATGGTTTTGTATTTCACAAGCCATTTGTAGCATGAGCAATGTCCTCATACCCTGTTTCTTCTTGTCAAATGTTTTTGGTAATGATCTTGCTATTTGTTGGAGGATAAGGATTCTTATATGGTGTTTCATCTGAAACTTTATTATTCTTATATAGTGTTTCATCTCAAACTTTACTGACAAATTGTTTTAAATTATTGTTAGATGTCCATGGCCCTGGGGTGCAATCTGTGCCAACACATGATCCTGTAGTTCAAGATGCTGCACATCATGCTGTCAAGACCATACAGCAGAGATCCAATTCCCTGGTACCTTATGAGCTTAAAGAAATCGTTCATGCCCAGGCTGAGGTGAGCAGTAAACAGCTACCCCTCTTTTCTCCTATCTTTTTCATGTTTCAAATATTCGATTGTTCTTTTATAATTGGAAGTGAGTACATATATTAATCCTGTTTAATATGGTGTTTCAATATCTTGTGGCATTCAGAGCACTGGTTGCTCTATGTTTACTGCTTTTCTCAACATAATTTATCCCTTGTTTTACTCGTATGTTTGATTAAAAATTTGTCTTATAATGTTAAATAAAAATCTTCATAGTTTTACATTCTGCACGTTTTGCGAAGATGGAGCTTCTGTTTGTCACTTCAATCTCCATCTCCCTAATACTAGTTTCTGGTTTGCCACTTTTTTCTATGGTAAAACTCTAGATTCTGCCTTCACCTTTCAAGGTGTTTAAGATATCATTGGACTGGGAACTAGAATCATCCAATCTAGTTGAAATATGTTTGAACAACAATTTGAAACTCTATGCTTGCATCAAAGGTAGAATAAGTAGGAACAAAGTGTCTGCTGTTGAATTTGGAGCTTAGTTCAGTTGGTTCATGCAACCATCTTTTAAGTGGTGGTATTCAACAGATCTGGGTTCAAATCTCAATTCTTGCAATCTTTTCCCTTATCCTTAGGAAGTGGTATTTTTACCCCAAAAAAAAAAAAAGTGACTGCAGTTTCATTTGAGTGCTAAATGTGTGAATATGCAACAGGTGGTAGATGATTTCGCTAAACTTGACATGGTTCTCAAGGTCAAGAGAGGAGACAAGGAAGAGAAATTCAAGGTCGAGGTACACCATAAGAGTGAAGGGACTTACCATCTGAACCACATGGTGCCAGATCACTCTTGAAGCTAATGTTATTATAAATTATGAAAGTTTGAATCTAATATTATCGTATGTCATAAAAATGGTTGGAACCTTGCATCATGTGCTGATCTTACACCTGCAAAACCTATATATATAAGAATGTTAGGTCTCTTGTTTACGTGTTAACCTACTGAAATGCACTGCTTTTCTCATTGCATAATTGCTTCACAAAAGCTTTTGTTTGCAGTTTAATAGTGGCATGGATTATTTTTATTCATCAAATTTAAGTTAAAAGGTCTTGAAATTGCCCAAAGATACATGTGCATGTAATTGCAAATCAAGGTGGGAGCTGATTGAAAGTGAAATTTCAGCATATTTAAGAGGGTATCAATGTTTTAGAGGGTTGACATGCAATTTGGTTTCTTAATTATATTACTATATTACTATTAAAGATTTGTTAATAATTTGGTACTTATAAAAACTTATGGTTATATTATTGATTAACATTGTTAAGTGTTATTATATTATTTTTTTTGTTATATTAATTTATCATTAAGAGAATTAATATGTAAAGTAAAATGCTTGATAGAAACAAAATATGGATATTGTGAACTTTTTAATAGATTTTCTATTGGTACTAAATCGTGGAGGTGATATAATTTAGAATATTAAATCACACGTTAACCTTCTTTTGAACTTTTTATGAAATTTGAAAATTTTATTATTAGAGTATAAAATAATAATCCAAAAAATAAATTTCAAAATTTTGCTCAATGAAATCTTAAATTTCTGACTCAGAAAATTGATACATAAATAAAAATAATGATAAATGAAATGACATGTTTGTGAATTGTGAAACGTTACGGCACTGACAAAAAAAAAAAACGTTTACGTCACTAATGAAAAAATTTAACGTTTACGGCACTAATGAAAACAAAGTAAAAAAAATTGGCTGGACCTAGTGGCATGGGCTTGAAGTAAAATCAGAAATCTCGCATTGATTGATTTGAGATATAAAAATTTACATTTTTTTTTATGAGATATTTTTATAAGATAAAATTATAAGATTAAAAGAATGAGAATAGATAATAACTCATAAAAATATAAATTATAATAAATAAATTAATCTGAAATATCAAATAAATATATATTTAAATTTTAAAATCACATTAATTTAAAAATTGAATCTCGACCCGTGACATTAGACACCACCGTAGTGAAAGCTTAGAAGAAATTCAGAAGTTGGCTAACTCGAGGGCTCATTTTGTAGAAGTAATTGATTAGCTTCGAGACATGGCCTTACGCGACCTTTGGCTCTCATACATGATTAAGTGACTTACACAAAACCGAAGCAATCACTGTATAAGTGTCATGATTTTAGAGAAGAGTTATGAATTTATCTTTGATTACGTACTACAATTGATCATGAGAGATAAAAATTTATATTATTTTTTTTGAGATATTTTTTGTGAGATAAAATTATGAGTTTTAATAGATCAGAGTGGATAATACTTCATAAATTACTATAGATCTTGTGTTAAGTTGATTTGAGACAATAAAAAAATCATCTTCGTGTTTTGGAGTAACGCGAGTCTGAAGCTTAAATTTCAATCCGTGACAAGTGATATCAAAACTTAGATCGGAAGAGCTAAGAGTGAAGGTACTAACGATGTGTCATTGAAAACGATGAACTTTCATTTGGAGTTAAAAAATATATCACAATTCTAGAAAAGAGTCATGAATCCTAAATTGATTGTGTACTAGATTATAAAAGTTCACACTATCTTTTTATTATGAGGTATTTTTTGTGAAATAAAATTATAAAATCCAAGAGTCAAAACGAACAATATCTCACAAATTACTATAGATATTGTATTAAGTTGATCTAAGATGCAAAAGAAACCTTCCCCGTGCTATGAATCTTATGTTAAGCTGATCTGAGATACGAAAATGATCTTGAAACTTAGATCTTAACCTGTGACATTAGAACATGCCTGAAACTATCATGATCGAACCGAGCCAACTTCCACTCAGGAAACGTAGCCTAACAACCCCCCAGCGTGTTTCTGGGTTTAACGGAAACTAAACCAAGACATTAGGCTAGGGAAACAAGCTCACACAACTTATCTTTTAAGTCATTTGCAGTCTTTTATATATTACTAGGCTTAGACTCAAAGCAATGTGGGACGGGTAAATGTTGCAAATTCCTTCCTCTTATCTTGATCGATCATCGATGTGGGATCGGGCAATTATCAATATCAACAACAAAACAAAAAACCTAATGTTGTCGGTGTTCCCGAATTCTTCACAGAAGCATTTCGTATGTAATTTTTTTATTATAAGTTTTAATCATAATAAAAAATTATGTAAAATTTTATCACTTAAAAATATAACCTCCATACAAAATTTTGATAGATCTTATATAATTGTTAATTATAATTGATTAAATGTAAGTGATATACTTTCATCTTTACAGCCAACAAGAAATTACTTGCACCATTAATGCCACTTAACAAACTCAGCACTATTTTCAGGAAAATCACAAGCCTGGGCCTAGGCTACCCGTCTTCCCTCTTAATCCAAGATGCTAAAACATGTCGACTCATACTTGTGAAAATTGATATGCATGAAAAAAATTTCTTCATTGCATCCATTCTCATGAGCTCTAATTCCTAGCGCTATGGAAGGATGAATTGTTCCTTCCTGCTATATGAAATGCAAATGACAGCTCAAGTTCAAACTGTCTATTATAGGAGATGAAACTGGCAGACTAAATTAAAGCAATTAAATAAATGGCCAAGGCAGCTGAATTTGACAATCATGAACTAAAGTTAACGAGCTAATCAAAACAAAACCAGTAAATGATCATAGTTAATAGAGTTTCTAAGGGCAAGTCTTTTACACTAGGGAGCCATATTCTCTTGTTGAGTACGGGGAAAGTTCCCAGACTAGTGTCTTGCTAATGTGAGAAGCTACCCTTTTAAAGTTATGTTAGCAAATGGTATAATAGAAAGTGAACGAGGAGAGAGAGAGAGATGCATTTGAGCTCTTGAGACCTAAATAGGATATACTCCCATACCCCAATGAGGTCATCTTGACTATTTTGCCTTTTCTCAACATTTCTACCGAGGTGCTAATCTGATCTCAACCACTAACTTTTTCTAGGAGTCCTGCTCCATAAGGACCATAACTACTTACCCTTCCTCGTCATAATCCTCTTCGTCCTCATCTAACCTTCTGCCAAGCTGAGCAAGTTGAAGAGGATCAATAGCCATCTTGTCCATATCTGAAAGAGACCAGCCTGGGTACTCTTCATGCTTAGTCTCTGTTGTAGGCTCTGCTGAAGAAGACTGAGCTGCTGCCACTGCTGCTATTGTTGCTGGCGCAACAACAGTACCAGCACCTGCTGAGGCCTTTGTATCCACGTTCTCATCTACCTCAGCATTCAGATCAAAATTCACAACAGCTTGATTGGTATCTTCAGCAACTGTGCTCTCTTTCATTGGTTCCTTCAAGTCAGAACCATCATCTATCACCATTCCAGGGGTTGAATGACTTTTGTTGCTTTGCTGAAGAGTTGAGCAGGGTTCTAGTTCTATTTCGCGATGAACATCTCTTTCCACATTTCGAGCTCCTCTTCCACGCCCCCTCCCTCGTCCCCTGCCTCTCCCTCTGCCACTGCTGCCTGCATGACCCACATCATGCTGCATAGAATACATGTAAAGGAAGTCAGTTATTGAAAGTACTGAAATTCACATAAACATAAATAACATGATCCTGAAAACAACATCTGAACGACAAATTAAACAAATAACTTACTTAAGTTGAAGTTACAATACATATAAGAGGCCTGTCATTGTAAGTATTAAAATTTACAAATATCTAAAATAACATGCATTGCAGAGAACCAACCTGGTAGTTCTTATGCAGAAGTACACAGCAAAATACACTAAAGTTCACCAATTAATTTTTAAACTTGACACCTTTATGTCACTGAAGAAAAACATTTTGCATTGTTCATTCTTAAAGTTGCAAACAAGCTCATCCTATACACTATAGTGTGTAGGTCTATACACACATACATGTCACGGGTCGAGACTTAAGCTCCGAACCCGCGCGGCTCCGGGACCCGAGCATTCACCCTTTCGGCGTCCCAGATCAGCCTTCCTGCCACGGTTCACACCCTTGTGAGGTATTGTCCGCTCTGACCCCCCTGACCTCACGGTTTTGTCCTACAAAAGGTGCCTCACAAGGCGGAGGTGGTGTGAACCCTTTTATACCCCAGTGACCTTCCTATTATGTTCGATGTGGGATTCAGGACTCTTCCTTAGGTCCGTGACATACACACACTTGTTGAAAGGAAGCCCTCTTACCATTCTGCTCCTTTTTGATTCTTCATCGCTGTCATTGGCTTCATCTCCAGCAGCTTTCCTGGCAGAATGATATGGAAATGTTTCACCAAATAAGTAAATCTTTTTATGAATTAAAAAGTGAGAAAGAAGAAGGAAGCCAGGCTTTCTCTAACCTTCTCCTGGAAATAGTTCGATCATCGGCAGCAGCATCAGAATGACCATGACTATAGTCAGGAACTCGGCTGACAATGTCCCTCAGAAAATCAAATACATTATAGCTCTGCACACAATGCTTTCTGCAGTTTATTTGGAAACTTTAGTTAGACCAATGCACAACACATTGAAAATATATATCACTAGGGGTAACAAAGAGCAAGGTTGGAAACAGCATAATATGATACCATGCTGAGCAGAAGACTTGTTAATAGAAAAATGTAGCATGATCTAGAATGGATAAAAAGATTCGATTTCTCCCAGAATAGTGATTCAATATCTACAATAATCTTCATAGTGGATCTGTATCTAATACTTTATGACCCAAAAAGGAGGAAATGTGGATCAGGTTCAACATAAAATTAATCTCTTTTAGGAATCAAATTTGTGAGAAAGGATAATCTCTTGATAAAATTTGGTACAGTAGTTTCAATTATTGAAATCAAAGAAAAACACATTTTAAGAAACTTTCTATATCTTTACTCACCCCCTTAAACCCCCAAAATGCTCTTGTATGAGTGTACATGAATGGATGTTGGTTGATCACAGTGGAATCTTGATATTCTCATATCTTGTTACTTCATATTAGAGTTTGCAATGATGTTGATGTTCATGATTTTCCATGTGTTTCTTCTTTTACTTCAATCTTGATATGACATTGTAGTAATTCTCTTCTAGCATTGATAAAGGGCATCTTTTAAGGGAAAAAACAAACAAACGAAAAAAAGATCAAACATTCTTGGTCTACTAAGTACTAATGTAGTTGCTAAGTGGTAATATGCTTGTAAACTAAAATAATTATTAGAAGTCTTTAGTAAAATCATCTTACAAGTTGTAATTGAGATAAAATAAGAAAGAAGTTGAAAGTTAGTAAAAGCAAAGTAGATAAGGCTAATGTTTGGAAGTTGCTATTTTGAGAGAAGAAGAATATGTGTAGTAAGTAAATACCTAAATTTGTTACTTTCAAACACTATTTGGCGGTATTGGATCCATTTTCTGTTCAGTTTCTCTCTCTCTCTCTCTCTCTCTCTCTCTCTCCCTATTTTCTCTCCCACACCAAATCAATTAGTGTTGAAATTTTTACTAAAGCAAGAGGAATGAAATAAAACAGAGAATAAGTTATAAAAGTACAGTACTTAACTACTAACACCTTTTTTTACAAAAGCCTATTGTCCAAACCTTTGACATAAAACTCCAACAAGTTTCTAAGGCATTAATGTGGGAATCATATTTATATCATCGCTACCTATACAACTAGTAGACATACACATAATCAAGTAAAGAGGAACAAAATGGTCAAAGAACATTTATGTGTATGCAAATTTATATAAAAGCAGAAAGAGCATCAATTCCCCAAATAGATTACAGACATCGCATACTAAAAAGAATAATGTTAATTCTTCACTTACAAATGCAATGAATTCATGGTCTTTGCTCCTCTCTGAAGGGTAATCTCATATGTATGATCACAAAGGTCTTGTAAAAACAATTCCAATGCTTTAGCTGAAAAGTAATAGAAAGAAGCATGAGCAAGTAATATACATGCATGGAGAAATTATTTAGGTACAATCATGAAAGTTACAGCCACTCACAAACTAAAACAGGCACTGCTAATGCAATCTTCCCAACATCTTCATCAGCTTGCATAATCTTTTTAATGCGAGCCTGAAAATCAAATACATTTGAAAGTTTCAGCACTAATCACAGCTAACATCTGTAAAAACAATATGCAAACCATAGATAAGCGAATATCATTTGAAGAAGATGGCTCGTAGCCAGGGATGCCAATGCAAGCCATGGTCCTACAGCATATATAAAACATCATAAAGATATTTTCCTTTATTTACCAAATTTTTTAATCATTGTTTTACATGCAGCATTTTTTAAAAACAGCTTGAAAGAAACAAAAATACGTGCAATGTGGAACTATAAAACTTTATATTTTAATTATAGGCAATCAACATTATCTATTAATATCAGGATATCCTAACATAAAACAGCAGCCCCTCAACAACAAAGATCAGTAAGAAACCAGAGAAGGTTTGTTAAACACTGAAGAGAGAATATCAAGATAAGAAGAAAGGATCAGTGGTACATAGTGTTTCTTGATGCATCATTAAGTAAGAACATCACCTCACAGGTCCTTGTAAGTTGCTGGTTAAATACCATCAACATAATGCAAGTAACCTATCAAGAAGCTCACTCCTTTTACCAGGTTTTGACTTCAAACCAATCAAGTGACAAATAGATAGAGCACTGTAAGGATTTCAACACCAAACTAGAACAGGATGATCAACAAGAAACTAATGCTTCATTTGGATGGGCAGTGGGAGGGATTCCCAAAACAACAGCTTTGGTAAACTGGGAATCCCTCCCATCAACCATCCAAATGATGCATAAAGTTCCAGAAGTCAGTAAGCAATAAATTCTGCGGCCTACCAACTACCACTTGATATTATAGTTCATAGTATGGTTATGTAAGATGATTACTATAGAACTTGATGAAAAAAATAATTGTGAAAGATTTTCTAAGCAAGAGTTGCCTGCAATTCTTTGAAAAAGAATGGCAGTTTCCAAAGCTGCATTAGAGAAATTCTTCATGCAAATTTGATTTGGATAGAAAATATGGATAACGATCCCTTCTTAAAGCCACATTTATGTTCGCAAACTCATTGCTTAGTTCTATCTTTCTCTTAAATTACATTTTTTTTCAATAGTGAAAAATAGTTAAAGAAGTGAAGGCTTTAACATGAATCCTTCATCTTCCTGTAGAAGGCAATATGAGGTGCCCAATGAAACCATCCAAAAAAGATGCCAAATTGATACTACCGAATTCCGAAGTCTGATTACTGATTGCACTAAAATATCTTCAGACTACGAGAGGAGTTACTAGTGCGGGAACAAAAGGAGATACAGGTACATCTAAGAGTTAGCAACCACAGAAAGCCATGTCATACTAAACTGTTCAGATTCTTCCATAAACATTTGTAATCATCCAGCATTTAAAAATTGAAACCAGACATGAATATAATAGATTGACAGAAGGATTACTTATGGATCCAAAACAGGCAGTTGAAATGATAATAACCTAATCACAAGTGCTAGCCAAAAAATCAAATTCCAAGTTCCTTTCTACTGTAATATTGGCATCATGTGGAGATTCATACAACTCTCTTTTCCCGCTTCCAAGAAAAGGAGGTAAAGGAAAACAAACCAATCATAACTGACTATTGACAGTTCAACACGGGTGCTTGGACAAGTGGATCAAAACTGAACCGTGCTCAAAACCACATAAATCACTTTGCACATCCTTTGAAGAATAATTTCTTTTATAAAGAAACTAAAACATTCTAACCAAAGAAATCAGTGTTAAGTATGCAGACAGATTATAGCATTTATAGTTTGCCGAGAATCTAAGATCACTTGTCACCTTATTTAACACAAAGAAGAAAAAAAACGAATTGAAGTACACAAGCTACAAAACTAAAAGGGCTCAAAACCCAAAACCAGGGCAATAAACAAAGATTAGCATCAACAGTTTATTATGCTCTTCACATTTACATTCGTTAAACCAACCTATAGAACTCAATTAGAATGTTGATCAACAATAGCATGAAAGAGGTAAGAAGCAGAAACAGAAGCAGAAAAATTACCCATTTGCCCTTCGTTTCTTTCATTCCTCATATTAGAGAAAGAAAATCCGATCCCAATTATATACACAAAATACATTGCCATAATATCAATCAACTGAATTTTTGGTACCAAATCACCTAACGTGTTTGAAACCAACCAGCCTAAAAATGCATAATTCATGAGTCAAATCATACTTTGAAAATATAACCTCCATCTTAAGAAGCATTTAAAGACATTAGCAAACCATAAGACCTAAAACAAACTACCTAGGGTTCCTATGGAACAGTCAAAAAACAAAGAATCCTCCCTAAAAGGACTATGAAAAACAGAAATCCGACAACATATTCCATGAAAAAATTCCATAAAATTAAAACAATTATAAACTAAAATTTAAAAGACCCTAATTATTGAAAACGGCAAAAACTAATGATGACCCAGATCACAAAATATTTCCTACAATCAAAAAGCAATCACAAAACCAAAATCTAAAAAAGACCCATATTTCAATTTTAACAGAATAAATATAAAATTAATACCCAAGAGAAATTAACAACGGATAAAGAAAAAAAAAACAAATTCAATGAAACGAAAGAAAAAGAAAATAAAAAAGTAGGAAGCTTACAGCTGGGAAACGGGTATCGAGCTTCTTCCTCATGTGGTTTGGTTGTCAGATTTGGATCATTAAATTATTAAAATATTAAAAATGAAAAGCTAAAAAGACAATCAGTTTTTTTTTTTTTTCAATTACTTCAGAAGGAAAGCATTGTTATCATCATTTCAAATATGAAAATAAAATCTAACAAAAACCATCTCAGATCCGGACACTGCCTTTCCTTTTAGCTCATTAAAACCAAACTACAAACGAGTCTTTGTTTCAAAACCAAAGTTTGACAAAAAGAAAAGATAAAAATAAAATTTTTAAGTCCAGTAGATATTTGTTGATAAATTGACAGCTTCGCCAATTTAAGATTGGAACAGTCCAATACCTGACGGTCACGTTTGGAGGGTCAATTCTTTTATTCTTGAATTTAAAACAAGAGAATTGGTTGTTTAAACGTGTAATGATTTTATTGGGCCGCATTTATAGTTTTGACCACGGCATTTTTCGGATATTTGTTATTTATTTATTTATTTAAATCTTATAAGATGATACATATCTCCATGTCAGCCAAAGAAGCCGAACAACATAGGAGGAATTGTTTTTTTTTTTCCTATATTTGAGCTGTTTCCTCTATTTGACATCGTTTACCTCATATATCGCTTAGTATAATTTTAGATGTTCATTTTAATATATAAGATTATTGATAAAATAAGATAATAATTATTTTATATTATATTTAATTCATATCTTAAAAAATATATAATTTATAAAGAGAATATGATTATTTAATTTTTTCAAGATTATTTTTGATTTATGAAATTAAATATATATTTAATTATATTATTAAAAATTACATCAAAAATTTAAATTATATAAATTTAAAAAAAATAATTTTGACAAATAAATAAATTATTTTATCTTAATTCTTACATACATAAAATAAAATAAGATAATATTATTTAATTTAAATATATTTATAATATCATCTTATCTTATTCTATTATAATCTTGTGTACCGAACATAATTTTAATGTTCTATTTTATTGTAAAGTTACAAAAATAAATGCCAATATATTTTTTTTTTGGAAAAAAAAATCTATAATTATTTAATTTATTGATAAAGTGTTGGGTGTTTAATTTTAGTGATCCACAATCTTAACTAAAAAAGTTATAAACATATATTTGACAATAAATTCAATAAAAGTCGTATGCATTACGAACGCTAAAATATGAAAAAAGACTTTGAAGTATTCTAAAAAATTTAATTAAACCCTTTATATTATTGTTGCATTTAAATAATTTTTTTATTTTTATTTTTTATTATTTATGCCTTTTCTATCTTAAGATGGTAATGGTGGTATTTAAATAGAATTCTGTTTATCTTAACTCTTAAAATATTTTACTCGACTCCAACCCAACTCAACATTGAGTGTTTTTTATATCAACTTCAATTCGATATATATATATATATATATATATGTATGTATGTATGTATAACATTCGTTTGATCTATGCTTGACCCAAAATTAGTTTAATAGTTTTAATTTAGTATAATATTCATAAACATATTATTTTAAATATAAATTGCATCTTAATTATATAAAAATATAACATTTTTATTAAATTCATACTTAAATATAAAATTAAGTAAATAATAAATATATATATATACACCAGAGTGAGTTGAGATGAAATACTCTAAAATTTGCCTTTAAACCTTGACTTTTTTTTAAAAAAAATTCTAATTTGCCTCCAATTTTACTTTTGGTTTTCAAAAAAACTAAGCTTATCAATATTTTTAGATTGAGAGGAAAGGAAGGAAAGGGAAGGAAAATAAAAGAAAGTAATAGAAACAGAAAAACATTTCTTTTGTTTGGATAAGATTTTAATTTAAAGGAAAAGAAAGAGATGGAAACTCAATAACCCTTGGTTTCTCCTATAGTCTTTACTTTTCTAGTACTCCAATTTGGAAAAAAAGCTGAGCAAATGAAAGCTAAAAAAAAATTATTTTTATAAAAAGACTATTATATCTAACTTTTTATTAATACCAAAAGCCTAGTAAAAAAAAACTTAACCATATCATAATTTTTCTGCAATTTTTTCAAAGTCATTTCTTTTTCCAAGTAAGTTTCATATGTCTCTTCCAATATAATTTTTGTTTATAATTTTTTGGTAATTTGATATTGATGAATAATTAAATATAAATAAACATATTTTTTAGGTTTATGAGATGTCAAAGTGATAATGTGTTGAAATTTTGATAATGGCCAACAAATCTATTAATGCATGTTTGTAAAATATCTTTTTGTTTCACTTGATTAAAAACTACTAATATAATAGCAATCGTGAAGCTAGATAAGATAACAAACATATTATGATCCAAAAGTACTCTATAAAATCATAAGCAATGAAAATTTATAATTGAAAAAAATTATTATAATGAATTTTTTTTTTACTATTTATCCAAACAATGGTTGTTAGAATTCCTTTCATTTTTTTTTCTTTATTAATTTTAATTATCCAAACAAAAGGTATATGTATAATTTCTTTTCCTTTAAAAAACTTTATTTTATTTTATTTTTCTTTCATTTCCTTTATTAATATTTATCCAAACATAACGTATAGGATCGAGATGAAACAGAATCTATTGGTTTGGGTTATTTTAACATATCTACTTCTACCTTTAAATTAATGATATGTTAACATATTTTAACATGTGAATAATGATGTAGCAAATAAATGTATAGATGTATAAAAATGGGAAAGCTTAAAAAAAGGATAATCTAAAACATATTTATTAATTGATACCATGATCAGACACAATTATTAAAAATATAATAATATATATAATTAATAAAAATAAATGTCTATATTTATATGAAAATTAATAAAAATGATTAATTATTTAATACCAATGTCGCAAATAATTAGTAAAAAGGATATGTATATAAGTAAAATTATTATTATTAATAAGAAAAACATGTTTATATGTAAAATTAATAAAAGAAGAAATGTCTATATTTACATGAAATTTATAAAAGGATTAACTATTTGATACTATGTTGAAAAATAATTAGTGAAAAGGAAATGTATATATGTAAAGTTAATAAAGAAGGAAATATCTATATATATATTTATATAGAATTACAAAATTATTTTAATTTCCTTTTTATTAATTTTATATAAATATAAATATTTTCATTTTTATATAAATATAAATATTTTCTTTTTTATTAATTTTATGTATAGACATTTCCTTTTTATTAATCAATAATAATTACTATTTATTATATTTATTAAAACTTACGTACATGGAAAATGTTTATTATTTGATACCATAATAAAAAATAATTAGTGAAAAATTATCCATATACAAAATTAATAAAAATAAAATTACTTATATGACCTCTAATGTACAAATTATTTCACTAAATGTACATATATTTTGTTTACATGCATAGGAGACACTTGTAATCTTGAGCTAGCACTTATTAAATATTAAAGTCATAAAAATAATTTTTATTTTTATTAATTTTATATATTAATATTATTTATTTTTTAGTAATAATTTTGAGTCATGGTATCAATTAAAATTTTTTTGTCAAACTATCCTTTTCTGAAAATTTCTTATTTTTACTCATTTTCTGCCATGTGTACATTTTATCACATCATTGTTCACATGTTTTAAAATACACCAACATATCATTAATTTAATTGTAAAAGGATTTAGATAGTGAAAAATAAAATTGAAGAGTTTATTTAGAAGTAGCAGTGGCTTTGAAGTTATGTGCTAGATTAGTTTGATAAAGAAACAGAAACATTTATCAAACAATAAAAACTAAAAACTTTAGGCATTTGCCCATAGATAAAAAATTATAAACAAAAATTTTAATTATAAATGTGTCACATTATGTCACGTATTTAAATTAATACCCGCAATTTCTTGTAATAAGTCGCTAACTTAAATTTAATTTCTTTTTTATATCAATATATATATATTTGTTTTATTGGATCTATTTTTATTACAAATTTTTTTTATTTAATTGAATATTTGGTATCAAATACTATTTTTAATAATTTATCTCTATTTTTTCATATTTATATATGAAATCTAGGTATAAATGTGATTATAGCTGTTTATCATTTTTTGAAATTGGTGTCTATTTAGCTATTTTTGAACCAACAAATAGTATGTTATTAATGTGTATAATTTACAAAATTCAATAAAAAATTAAGGTAAAAATGTATTTATAAAATAATTCTTGATGTATATTTTGCATCTCATAAATATTATCTTAGTTTATTTTTAGTCAAATTTTTTAACTTTGACTTTAATTGTTTTAAATATTTAATTAAATTAAATTTTAATAAATTTAAACAGTTTTTAGTTTTAATTAAAAAACTTTAAAAAAATTAACTAAATAAATGAAACTCAAGCATTAATTATGGGTCATAGTGAGTAATATTTTAGCATCTACTTTGGTGTTATATATATTTTTTATATTATAAAATATAGTTTATCGTTGGTGATATCAAAGTACTTCTCAATTTTAATTAATCTTTGAACTCTACTTGTATCATATTTTTTTGGCAGCACCTATAGTTTATTTCTTATTAAAAAATAATTTATCTAGCTAAGAAAAAAAATTCAACAAAATTTATATAAATGCTCTAGATTTAGAAATCTAAAAATTTTAGACTCTAAAATAACTGAGATAAAATTATAGTATGTTATTGATGATATTGATTTGGCTCGAAAATGTTATTATATTAATAAATTAGTTTTTTATCCACACAAATACATGGGAATTTTATATTTATAATAATGTTTAATTTAATTCATTAAAAATCTACATAAAATTTTTATAGATTTAAAATTTTATTTTTATCACTAAATATTTGTATTCTGTCTTTTTATTTTTAATTAAATTTATATATTTAAAGTTAAACTTTTTTATTTAATTTTTAATTTCATAAATTGAAAGTACAAAATTTCAAAATATAATTTATCAACAAAATTTTTAAATAACTTTTTGATCTCCATCTTAATTTAGAAAAGTATATTAGTAAATATTTAAAATATTGAAATTTTTAATTCAATTCACTTCATAAATTTGATTGCTTAATTGGTAAAAAAAGGAAATTTGCTATATTAAAAAAAAATTTTACATAAAATCTAAATGTAGTAAGTATTTATAGATCCTTGTAAACTATAATAAAAACTGATAATTAAGATAAAGTATAACTGAAATTTAATAATGAAGCTGATCAAAAGAATAAAGGAATTTTAAATTGAAGGCAAAAATGTAATTTACGAAGTTGAACTAAGAAAAGTTCGTTAGATTCTAAATCATTTTTCAATCCTCTAAACTTTTATCTTCTCCACGCGTATATGTACATATATATGATCAGAAAAATACATTCATTATAAAAAAAATGATAAAAAAAACTCCAATTTAAAATTTTTATCACCATAATAGAATAGAGTTTAGAGTAATAGTAATAGAAGTAATATATATTAACCAAAAAACACATGAAAATCAAGAAATGAAAACTTTTAAAAAATAAATCACATGGTCAAGGAAACAAAAAAAAAGCTTTTTTTTTTTTTGAAAAGATCCATTATTTATTCTTATTTATCGAATAAATCATTGTAAAAAAAATAAAAAAAAAGGAAATTTAAGGGAGAAAATTGAGTTTCGAAAAAGCAATATGAATGAAAAAAAACTTTTAGATGAAGCATTTGAAGAAATATGGAATGGAAAAAGTAAAGAAAAAAGTTTTAGAATAGAATAGCAAATATTTATTATGTTTTCAATTCTACATCAAGTATTTTAAAATATAAATAATTGAACATGGTTTTACCTATTCATTTAAATGGATGCTTTTATCTGCTTATTTAACTGAATATTTGAAAAAAAGTATTAAAATGAATATTTTTAAGTCCATAAACCAAAATATTTAAATAGTAATTTATGCATACCCTTATCAATTTAAACAAATTTGAATATTTTAAATGGATTTGGATAATATTACATAAAGTAAATAATCATATTTCCTTTTATCATTTTCATATTAATATTTGAATATTTATTATCATTTAATGATTTAGTTTAAAAGTTTTAGATATTTGATTATTAATATATATTATAATTATTTATTATTATCTTATGTGTCATTCAAAAAAACTATCAACTTAAGTGTCATCGTAAGCAAACCTTATCAGATTATACTTTAGTTGTTATCTCTTTATCCTTTTTTTTATTTTTTCAAACTTATAAAATTTAATCATAAATTATAAAATATTAAAAATAGAACAAATTAATAATTTTTACTATTGTTAATTATTATCCTAAAGTTTAATTTATTACCCTCATGACAAGATTAAATAATTTTGTGTTATTGTGTGGTTTATTGTTAACCTTTTTTTTCTTTGCAATTTTTATCATTTTAAATTTTTTATGATAAATGTTCTTTGTTACTTCACTTTATAGTTTTTGTTATTTTCATTTTTTATTTTATAATATTTACAATTATTAATCATTATTTGTTCCTTAATTTGGTATTTTTATAATATTTGCAATAGTTAATTTTTGTATTTTTTATAATTTTTGACAAATTTTTTGGTTTTTATAATTTTAAGAGACATGGAAATATCCTTTTAACCCTAAAGACAAAATACCCTTCAAAATCTTCTATCTTATCATGAGATATTTTGGTAATTTTCACTTTATATTGCTTGACGAAACAATCCTTGAAAACCTTTTATCTTAACATAAATGGGGTTGTTTGATAATTTCCACTATAACTTACTTTCAAATTTCAATGTACTTTAGATTATATTATTATTTTTAAATTATAAAAAACAAATTAATATTCTAATAATAAAAAATTATGTAGAAGTAGATTAGGCCAAACTTGGCTTTTAAAAGTAAATTTAGTAATATAAAATACGACATAAAAATAATATAAATAAAAAAATATATAAAAATGATACGACTTAAAATTTTAATAAAAATCATATATAAATTTAACAAAATTAAAAAATATATTTTATATTTTTGAATTGACACAAATTGTGATATATAATTTTTGTATAAAATACAATAAAAATACTCTAATTATCAATATTTTATATGATATAAATGCATAAATTTACAAATTTATTTAAAAATATATATTTGATGAAGTCCAACCCAATTCATGAATGCTTTCACTTATTTTTTTAAATGTAAACACCTTGACTTGTTAAGAATATTTTGTATTCAAATATATTATTTTATTTTTCCTTAGCATTCAGTTCAGGGATTATTATGTGATTTCTTTGTCTAAAAAATAAAAAAAAAGTTTGTTTATTGTTTGATAAGATGTCATTAATTTTGGCATGAAGGAGATTAAAAACATAACTCAATAATGGAGAAAATCTATACATTTATACTTTATAATCTATAAATACAAGAACAATGTGAGATCGCTTTTTTAAAAATTTATTTATAAAACTTTTTAAATTAAAACACATGATAAATAATAATACTAATTATTCAAAAATTAATAGTATTAATAATAAAATAAAGTAATTATTTTATAAAATTATTTTTTGAAATTAAAAATAAATAGTATAAAAATACATTAATAAAGAACGAATATATTGATTAACTTAAAAAATTTATTTATAATTAAATATTATAATCAATTATAATCTTGCAAAATTTTTTGATACATAAATAGTTCTCATTATTACATACATTATCACACTTGAATACTTTATTTTCTTATTTTTAAATAATAAGTATATATTGAACCTATAGTTGCATACATTGTACGTGTACAAATAATTGAGATTTACATATTAATAGAAACTTGTATTAAGCCCCATTAACATGTATGTAAAGTTTTTCTTATTCTTATTTATAAATTGGATAAATTTTATTGATGAAATAAATTAATTCAATAAAAGTGGAACTAGCATTCTTATTAATAGATCGAATAAATCTTATTAATATATATATTTTTATATAAAATTTTTAAAATGTCTATTTAAATTATATAATTAACGAAAATATCCGTTTTCATTATTTCGTAGTATTTCTCTATTATATCATAAAAAAATTTAATTTCTCATTGCCCCATTTCTTGTTCCCAATTTACAATTTAAATGGCAAGACAACATTGTGCACAAACAAATTTTCTTATAATCAATAGCCATTTCAAGATTTTTTTTTAAGAAAAAAAAATTGAAAATGTGGACCAACCTTGAGTAATTCAAATATAGTATCTCCCTATATATGTTCAAAGACCTTTTCAAAACCACATACCAAAAATGATTATTATTGCAAAATAACTTACCAAATATAGTGTTACCAATTAAATCTCATGCACTCAAACAACCCCCTTATGTTATTCACTTTTTTCAATTTGTTTCTTTGCATGTGGTAAAATGTTAAAATGTTTTAGATATCATGATAAGTATCTAACCCATTAATTAATGTCAAGAGTACATATATGCTAAGTTTTAAAATTACTAAGATATTAAATACTTTAAAAAAAAAATCTGATTCCAACTTCAATTAATTTTGGCAAGAACAGCTTGATGCCAACTATGGCTTAGACATTAATCAACATTTTTGAATCTTACTATAACTTATTCTTAACCAAGTTCATTCTTATCTTAATTGACAGTAAAATTAAATGCCTTACATCTGTATCTTCCAAAAGAAAATCATGATTTTTTTAGGGTAAATTTGGCAAATAATTAACAAGAGAAATTATAAAGAAAGAATTTTGGAAAGTTGTTATTTTCATCGTCATAAACCAACCACAATGCTCTATATATGGAAGTTTCTCTGTTACATTCAAATAAGTTTATGTTAATTTCCGATTAAGCTCGCTTATACAATTCATGATGTATAATCCCTTAATTATCATGTAATCGTTTATTTTTTATTCATTTAATTATTTTTACATGATATTTTCATAAACCGCGAAAAATAAAAACTATTAAAAGATAACAAATTATCAAGCTTAATTTAGTATTTTTATCATAACAGATAAATATGCTAGATTTCTTTATTCTTATAGCAGTGAATATATGTAAACATTAATTTATTAAAAGTTATATGCATGAATTCCACCAAATATCATTGAATCTTTTACAGAAGTTTGATCTCCTGAGTAGGCAATTGCGTTCACATGGTACTTTGAAATACATCTAGAAGAATTTGATGGAACAAATTTTCCTGAGGCACAAAATCTTATCAACCTTAGTCCTGATTTAAATCTTGTGCTAAAATGATGCAAGTGACAATTCAAAATGGGATTTCTTTCCATAATTGAAAGGATATTACATTCATTCAACCTTGTTATAAACTAAGCATTTCTCTCATATTGTTCCCCAAACCAAAAATATTTCGGCCATGGTTGGAATTGGTGGAGAACCATACCCTACTGCAGCCTCTAGCATTTCAGCAGCCTTGGAAGGAGTTCCACACAACATGGTTAATGAACCTGTTGGAGCATCTGAATCCGAATCGAGCCCTGGTGTTTTTCTTGATTTGAAGCTCTCGAATGATGATAATTCACAAGGCGAAACAAAGATTGAACTCAATCTTTTCAGCCCTATGAACCCTACTTCATCTCAGTCAAATGAGTCTGGTGAGCAGGAGACTTCAAGCGAGAAGCAATCCGATGCAAATAAGGTTTACTCATGCAAGTTTTGCAAACGAGAGTTCTCTAATTCTCAAGCCTTAGGGGGACACCAAAATGCTCACAAACAAGAACGTGCATTAGCCAAAAGGCGTCAAGGGATGGAGGTGAATGGTTTTGGCCATCCACAATTTCCCTATTACCCTTATCCAAGCTTTTCTTCACGCCCTATTTATGGATCTTTGAATAGATCACCTCTTGGGGTTAGAATAGAGTCCATGATCCATAAGCCTTCATATCCATGGGCATCGCCCGGTGGATATCGTTTCGGTTATGGTTGGTCTGGGCAAGCCATGATGAACCCTCCTCGGCCAAGCATAAGCATGAACAATGGTGGATTTGGAATCTCAAGGCCTTCAAACTCTTCAAGAATTGAGGAAACTGGTGCACCTCGAAGCTTCCCTAATATTTCTCAAGCAAATGTTGCTGTAAGTAGGGCAACTGGAATTGATTATCTTCGGCCAAGCAATTCTTCAGGAAGTGATGATCACAAGGAAGCTTCAGAAATTGATTTGTCCCTTAAGCTTTAATTATTGCTATAATATTCTGTTTTAATTAATTAGTTTCTAGTGAAGATTGCATGCTTGTTTAATTTCTTGTTCAACTAGGACACATTTGCATGAATAAATGAATGAAATTCAAAGTAATATTATTTTATTTTTTGTGTTTTTCTTGTGTGTGCGCGCGAAAAAGTTTAAATCTATAAAAAAATTATTTTTTAAAAAGGAAAAAGAAAAAGGAAATCCAATATATTTCCTTACTAAGTTTGATATTAATGGAAATTTTTTTTTTTTGAGAAAGACACCAAAATGATCACTAATGATGATTGCCTACCATAAACATGTTAATTTTTCAATTTCTATGGCTTGCCATAATGCCATCACGTCCACACCATATTAAATATTTGCTTGATTATATATTGCATAGCTCAGCTTGATATTTACTTATCAAAAAAGGAAAAAACCTTTGATATTTAGTCATTAGAATATGGTCAATCATGGCTTACTTTGGCATAACAGATGAACCTTTTTAATGAGTGGCTAATTTGAGGAAGATGAACTTAAATCTAGTTGTTTTGTTTTTTCTTTTCTTTTTTGGAAGAAATGTATGATTGGAAATATTGAATCATAACAAATTTATAATACTCTATTTAGGATGATGAATCAAATTTACTATTCATCTTTGAACAAGTGCAATTTAATCATTGCACACAATTTCTAATTTGATTTAAAAATAAAATATTTTATAAAATATTTCATTTACAAAATATTAATATTTTACTATTAAAATTTGATTATTTTTAACCAAATTTAAAAATATAATGATATAGTGACTTCCATTGAAAAACTAATGCAAATTTTAATTCTATCATCTTAATTAACTACATAGAATGGTAAATTTGAATCTTATTTTAGTTGGAGTTGAGTGATTGAATTTCTAACAAAAAAGGAATTGAGTGACTAAAATATAAATTTAATGGAAGTAGAATAACTTTTTAAGAGTCCTATAGTAAAAAAAATTTTTTTTTTTTTGAGTTTTAGTTTTAATTGAGTTGAAAGCAACCAAGCCCAAAACTCACCATAGGTTAAAAGTTCAAGCTTGGAACGTCACCGTTTGCAATGTTTTGGATAAAACAATTTATGCCAGAACAGCTGAAATGGAATCCTTTTGTGATAATTTGGTTATTATAATTAAACTTAATTACACTTTTGGTACTCAAAATTTGGGGAAAAGTACAAATTAATACTTAAAAAAAGTAAATGTAAAACTTGCATCCTAAATTTTCAAATAAAATATAATTTTAATCTAAATTTTAATATTTTAATTTAATTCTTCTATATGATATCCAATTAGTATAATTTGGTTATATACATGTCATTTGTTAGATAAAAATATTAAATATTTTGTAAAAAACCTCATGAAGATATCATATGGATGTCATGTGATAAATAATAATTGATCAATTTAAAATTTTTTTTATTTAGGTAAAAAAATATATTTTTAATATATATTGAAAAAAGATATTGATAGTATGTGTGGTGAATACATAATTTGATAATATTTGTCAAACATTATATATATATATATATAAATTGATATGATTAGTGATATTAGAGTTTAAGTTGAAATGATATATAATTTAAAAGTTTATGATACAAATTATATATTTTATTTTTTTAGGTATCAATTTATACATTTTTTTTCAAAATTTAAGTACTAAAAGAGTACTATTATTATTATTATTATTATTATTATTATTATTATTATTATTATTATTATTATAACAGTTCTAACTTATCTGAAATCTAAAACTTGGTACTCTTTTCATAAGAACGGACATTTATAAAAAGAAAAGGTTGCCTCCAAATATATATTTTAATCATTGAAAATTAAAGGTATTAAGATGAAATTGTCACTATAATATGATTTAATATTGAATTCTATCATTGTACTTTAATTTTATTAAAATTTATCATGTACTTTTAACTGTAATTTCAATTTATTGTTGGACAAAAAGGAAAGAAAATTTGAATATTTCACAAAATATTTTATTAATGCAAATAATAAATTTTATTACCGTACCTTCAATTTTGTTAAAATTTTAACAAAAAATAACGAAATTAAATTTTCTTATGAAAATATTTTGTTAATGAAAATGACAAATTTCTCTTTTTTTAATTCTATGTCAAAAAATAAAAAAAATAGAGTAAGATGAAAAACTTTAACTATATTGAATTATAATAAAATTTAATAATAAAATTTAATATTAACTCATAATGCAATAACAAATTTGAAGTTAATCCCGAAATTAAAAATTAAGAAGCACCAATTTTTAGTGCTTTGGGGTTAGCCTATAAGTTTCATTATATAGCTAGTTTGTATCACCATCTTGTATAAATAAAAACATCATCTCAATTATTAAGAAGAAATGTTTCACGTAGAATTGATTATCTCTTATGCAGGATACTGATTATCCAAAACGAAACACAAAGCAAATATACCAAATATCAATAGGGCTTAGCCTCAGGCTGCCACAAGAAAGTAGCATCAGCAATGGCATTACTGCAATAAAGGCAAGGATGCTGCTCAAATTCCTGCGCCTCTAAAACCTTCCTAGCCATCATCACAAGCTGTTTAATGGTTAATGCACCCCAGTTGTCTCTCAGTACAATCTGCACTGCATTGCTAAACGCTCCATACGCCTTTCCTCCACTCTCAATCTGGTTTATGTCAGCTGATATCTCATTTGCTTGGCACCCACTTAACAGAATCCCCCATCTGCCTTCAACGACTCCAATAAATCTGATTCAGGCTGGGGGTTTAAGGAATTTGAGTCTGGCACCAGCACCAGAGGCATTTAACGAATGAGTGACGATATCTGATGATTGTTATAGATGTTAGTTGCTGAAGTATGGATTCCAAAGGCATGATCTTAGCCCTGTAGGAAACTGATGATGTTGTGTTAATCTTAATAGTGGAAGGTCGTATTTGTTCTTTCTCTTGGTCAATTAGACCACCATTGTGGCAGGAATCTGAAAGGATCGTGAAGCTTGCTCCTTTTGGTAGTCGATTAACTAATTGCCTGAAGTCCATATCTGCCCCCAAGGTTTTACAGATTGTTCTAGTGACAATACTGAGATTGAAACAGAAGAGCTATAACGTTCCATCTATATAACTAACAATCACAAAGAACCTAAAGCTTCATGCAGCTACCCTTAAGATGGGGGCCAGCAGGATTGGGGTTTGAATTTTGAGCAACTGCAACTCGTTTGTACCCAAAAAAAAAAAAAAAATTCACAAAGGAAAAAGATTAATTACCAGTAATGAGATTGAAATCACAAGGCATGATTGCCTCGTCTTGCCTGAAAGGATGGCCAGGATTCAAGCTTGGAAATTTTGTTCCATGTCCACTATAGTCGAAACATAAGACATCCCTTGCTTCAGCCTGGTTCACCATCTTATTAAGTGCAGCCTTAATGTTTGCGCCAGTAGGCATAACCGAGGACCCTGGCGCATCAGTCGAGCTCAACATAGCAAGGATCAAATCCAAACCATTCCACGAGCACTTCTCTCATGGCTACCACATCATTTATGCATCCATGCAACTCGTGTTGTGTGTTGAGGTAGTTACAACCAACCAAAACAGCCAATCTCTTCTTACCCTTCTCTATTAGTGGTGGGATTTTGAGATCTATGAAAAGAAAAAAAAGAAAAACTGGGTTTTTCGTATTTCTAGTTCAGAGGAAGTGTTCTTGAATATTTTTCTTGCCTTGAGCTTTGATTTATAGTAAATGCGTTTTCAAAGTAGACTTGGAAAATAGTTCAAGCAACCTTCCTGCCTTATTAGATGCCTTTTAAGCGTCGAAAGATTGCTTCGATGCTTCAATCTTGTGAACACAGGAAGACTTATCTTTGACATATGAATTAATAGTCTTTATAAGGTATTAACGTATTCCAAATTTGGACAATTAGTGCATTAATGATACATACTCCAATGCTTCAATTCGCTGAAAAGATTAAATATTGGATATGCTTCAATCTTGTCCTTTGTCTTTATAAGGTACAAAGAATTCTACACGTTGGAACATTTGTCTCAATGGTACGTACTCTAATTGCTTCGATGCTGCTTCGATGTAATCTTTATTATTTACGATATATGAACATTTGCCACAATGGTAAGTACTTCAATTGCTTTAATATAGTCATTTGTTTTTATAAGGTGTTAACGTATTTTACACACTTAACATTTGTCTTAATGGTACGTATTCCATTGCTTCAATTTAGTGTTTATAAAGTTTTTACGTGTTTCATATTTGAACATTTGCTTTAAAGGTATGCATTCCAATTGCTTTAATGAATTGACATTCCACACATGAACATTTGTCTCAATGGTACATACTGCAATTGATTCGATAATTCAATCTTGTCGTATAAAGGAAATTAACACATACTTTGATTTGGATTGAGCAATTCTATATTTGACATTCAGACAGATTAAACAATTCTTTACCTTCACTTAACGTTAGGAAAAGCCAGTGATAACAATTTGATGAATTTTATAATGAATATTTGTTAGCCCTTTTCTTTTTTTCTTTTTTTAAGTTACACTCATAATCAAATATTATATTCTTATAATTAACTATTACATCATTGAATAATCAACTAAAAAATTATAACTTGACCAAACAATCAAATCCACTTACTAGGACCTTAAACTTCTAGAGCCTCCTCCTTGCCATTAAGTCAAAGCCTCATTGGCTTGTGAGCCCTTTCCTTGTTCTCTCACATTAGATTCATAATTCTATACATCATGGTTCAGCTTCCAATTGCATATACATCAAACTCTTGTTTTTCGATAAGGGATTTTGTGATTTTGCTCAATATATATTTTTTTTGAGTTTGTCTAAACAAATTTATTTATGCCGATAATTCATAAGAAATTATTTTCCGACAGTCTCTCAGCAAATTTGAACTTAGGTAACAAAGAAATGAACACATTGTTTCTGTCACTTAAACTAACTATTCATGTTAGGATAGTGACTCAAATCTTAAAAGATTTAGTGAAAAATTAGTCTGAGATTTTTTCAATATTAACTAAATATTACTTGATAGATAAAAAAAATTATAAGAAAAGAACTCTAAAATGAAAGAGATTCTTGATAGGTAAGTTATTATGCTTATATATAGTGAGAGTCTTTATAGAGTTAGGCATGAGATTTAAGAGTGTTATAAGATTTTATGGGATAGATTTACCATAAGATTAGAGAAAATTGAAAGGGTTCATATAGATATGTATGTTTGATATTTGGTGTGTGAATGCTCCATGAGACTAGAGGAGAATGTCCATGAGTATTGTTTATGAGTGAACTAGAGAAGAAGGAGAGAGTTCTCATAGATATGTATATGTGAATGTTTGATTGGAATCATTAGAAATCAATTTGGGATTGTTAGAGATCAACTTAAGATTCATATTAAGATTGCATGCTTGTAATTCTTTATAACTAATGGATTATTTTTATCTGTAGAGGTAGGCAAGCTAAGTGTCGAACCACATTATATTATTAGAGATAAGTTCAAATGATATCAAATTGGTTAAACTTTTTGTTAAATCACATACAAAAAATGAAAAATAAAACTATAAATAGACATAAGTGAAGAATAGTTTTTTTCCCTAATCCTTACAAATGAAATACTTAATAATCAAATAAAAAAAATGAGAAAAGTAGATTTTTACTCTTTTTTTTTTTGACAAATTGAATAATGAATTTATCAAAGAGATAGAAACACATAAGTGCTAAATATTAATAATAAATAAAAAAATCATTCAAAGAGGTCTATAAAAAAATTTAAACTTTTGATAAATTTTTTTTCATCATTCATGTTCTTTTTTAACATTATAAATTTTTGTTTTAATATGAAAACCTTGCAAGTATAAAATTAAAAGGAAAAGATTAATTATCAATTATTTTTCATAGTAAAATATTTAAGAACACTAAACCAAAACTGAAATAAAAGGAA